GTGGAACAAGAGGAAGATGAGGATGAACCCCCTTCATTGGAACCCAATCCAGGAGGGCAAAATCATTCCACCTATCCAGGATTCCCCTGACTAAACTCCAAGACACATACCCAGATTTCGAGCTTGAGGACAAGCTCGTAGTCCAGGAGGGGTGTAATGTTGTGGACACGTTCATCGAGAAGAAGTACCACCGCTGGCAGCAACAGTGACGTGGTGTCCTCATCAGATTATCTAGCTAGTCACAGCTTATCTTATCTTATCTGTTTCTTGTCTTATCTATAAGGATTAGTAGAGGATTAGTATCTTATCTAGGAGTCTGATTTATCTTAGGGAGTCTTATCTTTTCTTAAGTTAGGAGTCTTATCTTTTCTTAAGTTAGGAGTCTTATCTATCTTATCTATAGCAGTCGAGTTTAACAAGGAGTCTTCCTACAAGGAGGACTCTCACCTCTTGTACTCTCCTATTTAAGGAGCTGAGATTATGGAATAAAGCATCAAATTTCCAGTCAAGAAAGAGAGCAAAAGGAGAGTTCGGTGATCTCTTGGACAAATCACCCTTTAGGACGCCAAGATAGGTTCAACTAGGAAGGGGAGGAACAAGGGAAAACAAGAGCTTTTCCCCATGGACCAACCCGTGACGCGATCCTATTCTCGGGCCCATAACATGGCATGCAAATGACATTGTCCAGACCTCTCTCATCTGTTGAGGCTAATCATTGTTGGACACTTATGTGACACTGTAACGACACCATAAAAGCCACTTTAGATGGTATTGCCAATGACAGGCACTGGCCATTGGGGTCGGGAAAGGATCAAGCTAGTGGAGGATGAGTTTATTTTCCTAAAGGACTTTGCTAAGAACATTCCAGAGAGATCCCGTGACTAGGTCCTAGTATCCCTGTTATCAACCACTGGCTTGTGGCTCTGGGTTTTAATCATTAATTTGCAACTTCCTAATCATTTAGATTTCTTCTCAGCCATGAATTCCATACCACCTTTAAACTGATCCTGAAAAAATCAGATGCCAAACTGTCCTGCTCATGGGTGGGCAACAAAAAGGGAGGGAAAGAGCTCCATAATCAGAAGGTTATCACACCAAGGATCCCACCAAAATTTACACGGGTTCCCAATCTTGTATTTGATGCCCTTAATTCATTGAGGATATGACTTTTGTATCCCTCTCCATACTCACATCTATAGGAATGCTTTGATTCCCCAAGTCCCAATCCAAGTTCTTAGTTCTGCATTTTGCAACAATGATATTCCCCTAAACTCTAAAGACTTTGTTGGTTTTTCATTAGACCTCCAAAATAATTTTCCAAGGAAGGTGGTGCTTACCGAAAGTTTTAAAGCCTGATCAGGAGAGAGAATTGCCTTTTACCCCTGGTGGTGGTTCAGTGGTCTAACCATCTGGGTTAAATGTTTTGAACCATGATGTAAGCAGATCATTGTTATTCAGTGAATGAGTAATGTGTATGGGGTATAACTCCTTTTACATTCTGATATGCAACACGTTTTTTTGGAAAGACAAAATATTGTGTTGAGAGCATATAGGCAAAATACATCAGCACCCATGTACAAGTACAATGGGAATGCACAAAAGCTACCACTATAACTGGTGTTATCTAGTTATAAAAAGATATCATTTTAAGAAATCAATAGCAAAATACCCTTTGCTACATATACAGATATACTACTATAAGTATTCACTATTTCAACAAATCAATAGAAAGATACCCTCTTTCCCCATTAAGAAGGTAAAGCTGTAGTTGGAACTTGGAAGCAGCCTCTCTATCTTCAGAACATAAGAAACAAAAATAGGTCCTCTTTCTCTCCCTCTATTTTCTCAGTTCTTCCCATGAAACAGGTAGGCTATTGCTCCCACCTTCCTCTCTTTTGATTTCAGATCTCACATCAGCTATAACTTATAAAGAGATTTCTTATAATTACTTAGAACTTAGGTTTTCTTATTTATATATAACCGATTGAACTACCTGATGAATGGTTTTGAACAGATCAACAGTTCAATTGTCTAGATCTACAGTTTGTTGATGAAGTCAAGCTTTTTTTTTAACTAAACAGGTTAGGGCTTAGAGTGACCCACAGTCTGACTATCCAAGTTAACAACAGGTTGAAGAAACTAGCTTACAGTTCTAAGGTACCATATCCCCAACCCACCATCAGCTTCCAAGAAGCATACTTTATTTCAATCTACATGAATTATGAATGTATCCTACCATGCTCTCCATAGAAAATCCATCATTTACCTTTCCTGCTAGTTTGCTAAACTAGCTGACATAAAGAAGGGAGACAAGAAATAAGTAAGAAGGCTAGATAAAACACTATGAACAAGAGTTCACTTACCTCATCTTTTCTTTCTTATTCTTTTGATCAGCCTACCTCATCTTTTATTTCTTTTTCTTTTGATCAGCCTACCTCATCTTTTCTTTAATGAAGCAAGTCTTTTGAACATCGCTAAATGATAGGATCCCAAATAGATTAGAAATACACTTGTCTCCAAAGGGTATATTTGAGTACTTAATTGATAAGGACCATAAGGTATCACTATTGATTAAAAAAATGACAAGGTATCAGTTGCATCCTAATATGTCAGCTAGTAAGCCCATACCTGGAACTTCTCCCACCTCTATAAGTTCACTATTGGGCTGGTCGATGTATAACCCAGACATCGCCCCAAACCATCTCAAGATGTATATGAGGTGTCTGCATGTTTCCTTATGTTGCATTAAAAAAAGGTGTTGCCATCCAATATTAGTAAAAATCTTTAGTGAATAGGGTTGTTTGTAAATCTTGTATATAATTGCCGGTTTATAACAAAATTTTATTGTTAGCTTTCACAAAAAAAAAAAAAAAAACTTCAGTGAGCCCCCTCCCACTTCAAACTTTAAATTAGGACTCCATTTGCTATCTTCACAGACATCCTGCCTAAAACTTCATTTACACATCTCTATAGTATATAAAGCGGATTCTTGCCTTGGGTTCCATGTAGGTCATAAAAATTAAATCCAAATACTATATGGTTAATAGTTACTTGCACACATGCAAGGCATGTGCTCTTACACTAGTGAAGATAAATGGAGATAGAGGGTCTCTTACTCACCTTGTCTAAGACCTCTTGAGATGTAGAACTTAAGAAAAACCATTAATAAGCAGCAAGGGGTACCAAGACTTCAGTTCGATTTCTCCATTTTTAAAGTACAGATGCCATCTAGGGATTTCCAATCAGCATGATCATATGCCTTTTCCAAATCAATGTTGCAAATCACTTTGGAGAGTTTGCTTCTCTTTCTAGATTCAATTAACTCATTAACACCCAGCATTACATCTAATTTTTTTTTTTTTACATTGGAAAAGCCAGAGAGAAAGGAAATGTTATGTGTAAGTAACTTTACAAATCTGTGCAGTGTTGGATTCCAATGCATGTTTGCCAAGGACACATTGCTGATTAGAGTCATCAACATCACATTGGTTTTCTTAGGGCTTGTTGCTTTTAAGGCAGTTTTGAAGGGGGTTACGTACTTATATTGTTGGTTATGCCTAGGGGTGGCCACGAGCTAAGCTTCTTATGAGCTATTCGAGCTCGGCTCGTGAAAAGCTTGGCTTGACTCGATTTAAACCGAGCTTTGAGCCTGATATATAGGCTCATTTGCTAATCGAGTCAAGCTCGGCTCGTGAGGCTCACGAGCCTAGTATAATAAATATCTTTTTATTTTATACATACATATACATATACATATACATATAGTCATATACATATACATATAAATATATATATATAATTTTTATATTTTATGTATAATAATAAATAATTTTTATAATTCTTATTTTTTGTATGTAAAATAAAATTATTTTTATATGTATATTTTTTACTTTTTATATGTATAATAATAAATGATTTTTATAATTCTTAATTTTTTGTATGTAAAATAAAAAAAATATTTTTATATGTATAATTTTTAATTTTTAGAAAAAATATGGCTTGCAATTGAGCTCGAGCCGAGCTCGAACTTGCGGGCTTTGAACCGGGTCGAGCTCGAGCTCAAGTCTCTAGCTCGAATCAAGCTCAAGCTCGAGCTTGAGCCTATCACAATTTTAGCGAGCCGAGCTCGAATAGCCAAATATTCAGCTCGACTCGACTCGAATCCACCCCTAGTTATGCTTATGCCTCCTTTGGTTTTATTATCTTATCACCTATCCATGTAATGGCCTTTTCCCTTTTAACATCTTGTTAGATGTCCTTTCTAATGATGCATCATTTGAGAATGCAAAGAGATAACATCTTTTGTCAGATCTCTAGTTGGAGTTGTATTAGTATGTCAGAAGAACCACTGCAACAAGGGCCGAGTGTTGGCACAACTAGACTACTAGTTTTCAGTTGTCTTGGGAACACTGCTTACTGGTTGCATAAACTTCTAGTGTATGTTAAGAAGGTGCTAATGGGAAATGAACATTGAATGTTCATTTTTGCAAAGTAAATGAACCTTGATGCATAGAAGGGATAGTGCACAATGATCACACATTGATGTGCAAGTTGCAAAAGCTCATTTGGCACTTTGACACAAATATGTGTCCACACTTTGTTGTTATCTAATATTTTGTAGCTTCAGGTATTATGCAAGTAAATCTACCAAGGGTAATCAATTTGTGGTCACTATATCCTTAACAATGAACTAGTTAAGACTCTTTTTAGTGAAAAATATCTCTAATATTTTCAAACGCATCCAAAAGCAGAGCCAAGAAAAAAAATGGGGGACAAGCTTGTAATAACAAATATATGGGGCTCACTATACTAAGTAATCCATATGCTCATAAAAGTGTTTATCTACTCACTCTGCCCTGACTCCACCATTGATGGCATCTATGTGGTGCATCCATGTTCACAGAGAATGTAATAGGAGTGCAATATAACTCAAATAATTTATACTAACATATTGTTGTCAGGTGCTAATCTAAAAGCACCTTCATTTATCCCAACAAAGTTGTGAACAAATTCATCCTACAAAAAGAGATGAGCTAAAATTAAAAGTAGAACATATTACATGATTATTCTTTAAGATAAAGAAAGAAAAACTATAAAACATTATTTTATGGACTACAAAGTATATCTTCCTCTTATACAAATTTGTAGCCTACAAAATATACATCATGTTAAGTACACATTCCATCTTATGTATCCATTTCAATATTATCTCTCTTCCTCAATGATATCATCTTCATCATAATCTTCCTCCTCCTCCTCCTCCTCCTCTTCTTCTTCTTCATCAAAATCTTCTTCTAATTCATCATCATTAACAATGAAACCACCTAGGGTATCATCCTCATGTTCACTAGGTTTTGTTAATTTCTCCTGAACCAACATTTTACTACTTACTACATCCTTTGAGCTTTTCTCATGGTTCCTCGACCTAGTTGTAGAATATTTAGGTCTTTTGGCTTTTCTAAATTTTGCAATTAGCATTTTGTCATCCTTGCTCTCACCCATCCAGTCTTCATCCTCATTTTCCTCATCTTTTTTCTTCTTCTTTCTCCCTATACCCTTCTTCCTCTTTGAACTATCTTTCTCAAGAAGCTCCTCATCTTCACTCTCTTCCTCTAGTTCTTCAAGGAACCAGTCCCAGTACTCAATATCACGGATCTTTTGCCTTGGGTAATTGTCAAACTCATGTCCCATCACCACAAACCCAAACTCTGTGTTAGACAAACAATGAATGTCAAAATAAGCACAACGATAATTTTATATAGAATGATGCTTTGGAAGTAAGAAATCCATTCAGTCATACAAGTGCATGAATGACATATTGTGTAACATGCATCTACTAGCATAAAATTGACAGCAAAATAGGTGCATGCATTGCGTATGTATGCATGCCTCTATGATGGCCAAATTTTTAAAATAAATGTGTTAACAAATATAAGAGAACAGTAACCCTGCTGCTGCTAGAATAATAAACGGTGAGATTATATGGCTCATAGTACTAAAACTAGAAGTCTAGAACTAGTGAAATACAAATGCAAGTTTACCTCTAAGTTGGGAGACCTTGAACTTGATAAATACATTCTGTGGCTTGTACGAATTGCGTATTTTATACAAATCATGAAATTCCCTTTAAGGAGAAAAGGATTTGACTGATATGAACTATTTTTTACTCGAGAGAATGATTATGCTATGTAAAATTTTTAAAACTTAGCTCATTAATGCAATTACAAGAATTGCCAAATTGGACAAATTTCAGAACGGCGATGGGTTAACTGACTAATCTTAGCCAAGCCTCAAGCTTATTCATTGTTTTTTATAATCTAGGTTAGATTTCATTTCAGCCAAAATATTGAACATAACAATGGAACATCAAGCAAAAAAAACAAATCAATTGAAAAGAAAAGAATCCAGGAACCAAACCTTTAACTGGATCAATATCTGTAACATCAAAAAGCTCGAGCCCAAAATCCTCGTCCCCTCTAATCTCTCCATTGCAACTTATACTATCTGCCAATTCTTTCTCCTTTTTTCCCCGCTCCACTGCCTCCGAAACCTTCTTCTCCTTTTCTTTATGTCCTTCGAACCCACTTCTCTTCAGAGTAAATACGATGGGCTCCTTTGCAGAGACACAGAACCTATCACCGACGCTCATTTTCCCTTTGTCGAACCTCATAAAAGTCCTGACTTCCCCGCTACCACGGCTTAACACCCAAATAGGATTTTTCCCGAGAACTTCAAACGAAACCCTAGGTTCAAAATCTTCGCTGACATCCTTCTCAGCAGTGCTGTCAAGTTCAAATGAAACGTGGCGACGAGAAACAGTTCTATCGTCTGAAGGAAACCCTAAACCCCTTCCAAACACTTCCTTGATACCATTTCTAACCAGAATTGTGGAACCGTCTAGTCCTTCGATCTCCATTTACTTTCCTGTAAGAGTAAGCGATGTACACTCCATTTTATTCTATGGAGAGATTTTAGAGAGGGAAACAGACGGAGAAGAGGAGGGCGGAAAATGTATTTTGAATAAATGGATTTTCATATTCCACAGTGACTAAAATGCCCTCGATTTGTCCATGTCGTTCGCTGAGTGACCGCTGACTCGGACGATTCAAGTGTCAATCGGAGCCGTTAACTGACATGGCGCGAAAGGAGTTTGGGGGTGGGGGAATGACGGTTGGTGAGGTTTAGCAGACGTTAGGGTTTCGAAAAGATAGATTTTCTGGAAGAACAGTGGTTAATTCTAAGTGCAGGGATTTGACGAGTTAAGGCTTCAATTCAAGAAGAAGAAGAAGAGCATAGCGGTTATTGATGGAGAATAGATTGGAAAAAACAAAACTTGAGACTCTAAAGCCACCGATGCATGAAGGAACACCTTTCGTTTTCCCTCGTCATCGCAGGCCTCTCAAGAGCGAGACTTTCCGCACTCTGGTTCGGATCCTATCTCACTGTCTTGACGAATGTGAAAGTTCTCCCAAGCTCCAAATCGTTTCTCCAGGTAGCTATTCAACCAATCTTCTGTTTCCCGTAATTGAATGACCGGAATTATTTTTCTTGTTTGACATCATCTCCGTTACTGCGAGAAGAAAACTAATGCAAATGATATTTTCTTTCTTTTCTCTTTTTAACTAAACTATAAGGTGATTTTTATTTTCTTTTTGGCTTAAACTACATGTTGATATTTATTCTTTATTATTATTTTTCCAATGAAGGTAGCCAGGCCATTGAACTAGGGCAGGAAACTCAAGAGGTACTCCACGAACTTGTCGATCCGGATAGGCGAGAGCCTGAGAATTTGTTGATCGAGAATACTGAAATTATTGATACCAATGATGAAACCTTCAGCACGGTGGTAAAAGATGGTGTGGGTCGCAGAATGGTAGTAGAGGGAAATGAGGATTTTGTTTGCGACAATGTTCTCAAACCTACAAATGTATCAACGGAAAAAGATCTAATGGTTGATGATATTCCCTTGGTGAATGACCAAAGTGATCCTGTTGTTTCTGAAAAGATTGACATCGAAAAATTAGGGATAATAGAAAATGACAGACATTTGAATTTTGAAGTTCTAGGAGCGACTAACTTATCTATGGAAAACAGTCCGACTACTGAAAAATCTGTATCAGTCAACAGCGCACAGAATAAAATTTCTTCTTTGGAAAATAGTGTGGTTGATGATATTCCCTTTGTGAGTGACCAAAGTGATCGTGTTGTTTCTGAAGAGATTGTCATCGATAAATTAGGGCTAATAGAAAATGACATGCATTTGAATTTTGAAGTTCTAGGAGCGTCTGACTTATCTGTGGAAAACAATCTGACTACTGAAAAGTCTGTATCAATCCACAGCACTCAGAATAAAACTTCTTTGGAAAAGTGCGTGGTTGATGATATTCCCTTGGTGACTGACCAAAGTGATCCTGTTGTTTCTGAAGAGATTGCCATTGAAAAATTAGGGCTAATAGAAAATGACAGACATTTAAATTTTGAAGTTCTAGGAGCAACCAACTTATCTGTGGAAAACAGTCCAACTACTGAAAAATCTGTATCAATCAACAGCACACAGAATAAAACTTCTTCTTTGGAAAAGAACATGATGGAAGAACTTCAGCATGAAATACAGCGGAAAGAACCGAACTTAAAGACATTGGTTCCTTCTATTGCTGCAGTAGATACTATTGATGGTTTTGTTGCAGATAGAGAAATTGAAGAGGGAGAAATATCTGATGATCCAGAGATTCCTGACCAGTTAATTGATTCAGTTGCCGAAGATGCTGTGTTTGAGATGCAGGGAAAAGAAGAACATGTTTCTGCAGATGCCTCTGAGAAAGAAGATTTCTCCAATAATTCCGAGAAACATGCAAGAGCTGATGGAATAGATATGCCCTTGACATCTTATCTTGAGAACACGGTTGATTCTATGGGTAACTATAATGAAGAGAATTTCAAGGAACAAAAGAAATTAGGGAAGGAGGATAGCCCTAATATGATGGTTAATAACAGAAATGGAATGGTTGAACAGGCATATAAGGATGGTAGTGTTCTAGGAGGTGGAACAAATAAAATGAAAGGTGATGTAACCAATGGAGATTCTAATTATTCAGTATCTAATCCTGACAATTTTGGGCTTCCTGAAAAGATTCATGAGAAAAATATAACTGGAAATCCAGGAACATCCACAGAAAAGGTATGGTGATAATTACTGTTTCTGTTTACTATGATTCTCTTGATAAGTTGATTCTCCTCCCTATTTCTAGCTTGATGTAGGGAATGTCATGTTTTTAAGCTGCATCAGTATGTCTGTTTATAATTGAACTATCCTAAAAGACACTCATTTTCTATTTCCAGTTTTTTTTTTGCTATACTACAACCACTCTTGTGATGCATTCAGATAATCAAGATACCAGTTTGGTAATTCTTTGATGATGTTTGTTAGAATGTTAGAGTGATGTTCGGCTGATAAGAGTTCTTATTAGCCCATTCTTATGTTTAAC